GTGTGTGTGTGCAGATTTACAGTGTTAGTAACCCTAAACAGATCACATAGTGTTTGTTGTAAAGGATCAGATGTTCTCTCTTCTCTGTCAGCTGTTCTGTAGGAGAATACTGTAAGTGAGAATCTATACTTCTACTTTCTGAATCTGCTTTATGGTTTTCACTTTCTTTGCTGCCTTTGTTCTGTTTTGTACTCTTTCATAAAGGAATCAAGGACAGAGAACCCATCAGAAAGGTCACATGTCTGATCCTCTGCAGCCCCCTTTGTCTCCCCTAAATCTTTCAAGGTGCCCTTGAGATCCTCCTCACAAACCCAACGTTACAGTGTCTCAATGATATATTTAACCCTAGACTGGGTAAAGGCAATTTTTGAAGAATATAGGAATAACATGTTGCCAAAATGTGTCTATTTCTGACCAAATCTACACGCGGAGAGTCTCATTCCATGCGTAAAAGTTAGATAAATCATAAATGAAAAATATATGACGTGTTTTATCTGCCCTTGTTTGTTCTCTGGCTCAGGAATGAAACAATGTCCTCTGTTAAAGGCACTAATAACTCTACCTGTCGATGCTGATTACGCACAGGCGGCACATCGCATCCATGGCGTGAACACGTTACAGAAGTCTCCATATTTAAAAAAAAAAGTGCCCTTGAGGAAAAGTCCTGAGCCACACCGAGCCTCCACACAAACCTCACGTTTTAATATCTTAGTAGACTGGGTGATGGCTATATTTGCTAGAATATGGCGCGTAAAAGGGATGTGGCCAAAATGTGTCTATTTCTGATAAAGATCTGCATGTGGAGAGTCTCGGTCCGTGCCTAAAAGCTGGATAAATAAAGTTGTATATCTGCCCTGGTGTATTCTAAGCTAGTCTAAATAACTAAATAAGATGTAGATGTTGTGATTGTATGAATGAAAGGTTACAAAAACTCCATCTCACCTATCGATGCTGATTACGCACAGACTCATGATGGACGCGGTGCAGCACATCACATCCATGGCGATGAACACGTTACAGAAGAACTGACCGAAGATCCACTGACCCCCGATCAGATCTGTGATGCTGACGAACGGCATGACGGCCAGAGCCACCGACAGGTCCGCCACAGCCAGAGAAACGATCAGGTAGTTGGAGGGCTGCCGGAGCTTTTTCACGAAACAAACGGAGATCACCACCAACATGTTCCCGCAAATGGTGCTCAGCGTCAGCATGGTGAGCACCGCGCCGATCAGCACCTTCTCAAATTGGCCGTAGCCCAGAATCTGCTCCCCGCACCGCGTGCCGTTTATCTCCATCACCTGCGGCTGACTGGAGGTGGATGGAGACGTCGTTGCTACCGCTTCTGCCGCTGCTGCCGCTGCCGCTTCTGCCGCGCCTTGCGCAATCTTCAGCAGCCGCGGCCCCAGACCCTCGGAGATCATCGTGTTTCCTCCGGGATCTCCAGCTCCTCCTGTCCGGTCTTCTATCATGAAGGACGACCTCATGTTGCCAAAGCTGCCGTTACTTGCTCCCACAACCACCATGCTGCTGTCTTTGAGTCCTGCTCATCCATGGATTTGGAGACTGGTTTGATGGTGACATGTGCGCGCACGGTTGTGCCAAAGTTAGAGTGAGAAAGAAGTAACTCCTGTCCCCCTCCTCAGGATGAACTACTGCGATCCTCTTCCCTCAGAAAGCCTCCAGTCTTCTATTTACAGGAACACTCGTCATTACGCACGGTGGGCATATCCCCAAATACCTGACCTATAATACACGGTGGTGTTTCTTCTCGTCCACCCTGGGTACCACTATTCCCTTCTGCCTGATGTGTGGAAAGAGACATGTATACACCGCAGTGCCGCGCATTTATACAAAAGTTTACGCGTGACGTCAAAGTGGATTTTGGGTAGCCCATAGGCTGCAGAGCGCTGAGTGTCCCATCATGCAAATAAACGATCCGCAAAAACAACATCTGTATGCCATTTATTAGAGTTCATCGTGGTGACATTGTCTTGGCAAGGGCGCATGGATGACCGTGCGTAATTACGCAGAATGGATTTCAGATGCATGATGTTGGTGTCGCCTGTGTTATATAGCATCGCTCCCTCCGCACGCACACACACACACACACACACACACACACACACACACACACACACACACACACACACACACACACACACACACACACACAGACAAAGGGAGAGCAGACACTGGGAGAGATCACACACACTGTGAATGGACAATAGATTATGAACGGAGGAGATTTTTGCTCTTCTATAAATAATCCATTCAAGAAAACTGAGGCCATCTTTGTGGATCGCTCCAGACTCAGTTCATATCGGGCATGGTGACATGCTTTATTACTTCCATGGGAAACCTTTATCATTCCACTTCATATGGAAGAGACAGGATGGCTAATTGACTTTTCTCTGGACACATCATTTCATTTTAAGGTTGTTTTCTGACAGATAAAGAGGTGCTTCTTCTTCTTCTTCATCATCATCTTCTTCGTCCTCTTCTTCATCATCCAGCCATAAATTGAAAGTGCAGGACATCTACCTCCATCTCACTTTTGAAACCTGACAGATTTATGTTTCTGTCGGAGAGAGCAGAGCTGCTCCTGAGGCCTGTTCATCATTTTCTAATCCGAGTCCAATTATTTATCCATAACCTCACACCGGACGTGGAGCCTTGGACAACAGCGCCCCCATGTGGTCATACATTGATACTGCATGCTGTGCTGATTATCATCATTGTTTTGTTTTGCTTTGATCTTTTATTAGCATTTTAAGAAAGTATTCACCATTCATACATAACAAAATAAACACATCTATACATAGACTACATATCAGTTGACAAATCCGAAATGAAATAATAAAATAATAGTAATAATACAAATAAAAGGATGGATACATTATTAATACTCAGATATACATAAATTATCTTCATTATAATGTTCTTTACCCATTGGTCCACCTTTCCTCAAAGTGTTTTAATGTATTGTGTCTCACCACTTCTTCAATAAACCAATATGACTTGTGTTTTTGTATTTTATTTTACTATTTTATTCATCCTAAGTGTTGCTAATTGCTTGTGAAGCCCTTTGAAGTGTGTTTGACTTTTTCAAGTGTATTTCATTGATGTACACAAACACACTGTGTCTTATTATATTATTGGAATTTAATATTGGAATCTTTAAAACTTAAAAAATCTTGATCCTTGCCTTTTATGAATTCATTAAATGTTACGAACAAAGTCATGGTTTAACAGGTGTGTGTGTGTGTGTGTGTGTGTGTGTGTGTGTGTGTGTGTGTGTGTGTGTGTGTGTGTGTGTGTGTGTGTGTGTGTGTCTGTATGTGTGTGAGAGAGTGTGTTTTATGTCTGTATGTGTGTGAGAGAGTGTGTGTGCGTCTGTATGTGTGTGAGAGAGTGTGTGCGTGTCTCTATGTGTGTGTGTGTGTGTGTGTGTGTCTCAATGTGTGTCTGTGTGTGCGCGTGTTTGTGTGTGTCTGTATGTGTGTGAGAGAGAGTGTATGTGGGTGTGTCTCAATGTGTGTGTGTGTGTCTCTATGTGTCTCAATGTGTGTGTGTGTGTGTGTGTGTGTGTGTGTGTGTGTGTGTGTGTGTGTGTGTGTGTGTGTGTGTGTGTGTGTGAGAGAGTGTGTTTTATGTCTGTATGTGTGCATGTGTTTGTGTGACTCTGTATGTGTGTGAGAGAGTGTGTGTGTGTGCGTGTCTCTATATGTCTCTATGTGTGTGTGTGTGTGTGTGTGTGTGTGTGTGTGTGTGTGTGTGTGTGTGTGTGTCTCTATGTGTGAGAGAGAGAGTGTGTGTGTGTGTGTGTGTGTGTGTTGTGTGTGTGTGTGTGTGTGTGTGTGTGTGTGTGTGTGTGTGTGTGTGTGTGTGTGTGTGTGTGTGTGTGTGTGTGTGTGTGTGTGTGTGTGTGTGTGTGTGTGTGTGTGTGTGTGTGTGTCTGTATGTGTGTGTGTGTGTGTGTGTGTGTGTGT